TGCGGCGTAAATACACAATTGAATACAATGGACAATGGGACACTGCCCCACACGCTGTAGCACACATCTCTGTTATTGTTGTTACACGAGTGGCACGAGAGTGGGCACTGGGGCAGGGTGGCAGGAGGGGGTGGGTGTAATTCCCTTGAAAACAAAGTGGCACAAAAATGACATTACACAAAAAGGGGATTTATTTAGTTTATTTGTAGCATATCAGCAGCCATAACTGTCAAGTGGATTGTTGTTGCTATTTGGCAGGGGGGGTTGGCAGGGGTGGAGCATGACACCGACACAAATGTGACACACAAGAAAAAGCAGCAGCAGCAGCAGTAGCAGCAGTGGGTGGGGGGGTGGTGTAGGAGTAGGAGTTGCAGCAGCAGTGGGGCAAGATCTAGAGCGGCCATCATCATCAATCATTTTGATTTGCGCTAAAAACGATGCAACGCTTTTGTTGCAACAATCCAGCATTGCATAAAACAACAAAACAAAAAGGCACACCGAACACCGAACACCCTCCCCTCCCCATCCACACCATTTTCAACCAAAATAACAGCAACAACAAACGACAAACACTGGAGACGATAAACTACGGCGGCAACAGCAAACAGCAGAACGGAACCGAAAGCAATGTCTGAGGCGGGGGCTGGGACAGGGGGGGGCGGGGGCGGGCAGGGGACAGGGCAGGGCAACTGCCAGACAGAATGACAACAACCATTCATGTCGACAAGTTGCGCGCCGGCATTTCTTTCCCCCCGCCCCCTCCCCCTGCCCCCAGCCGCCTGTCCGCTGCACCCTTTGTTTGCTCTTGTACTTTTTCCCATTTGATGCATTTAGTATTTTGCAGTATTTTTTTTTGCATACGCCATTTGCATAGTCCCCCTCCCTGTATGCACACATACACACACACATCAACATTCTCGTAAGTATGCACTCTCTATGCATGCATTAGGTTTTAGCTGCTCCACTTAATAGAGAGCATATAGCGAAGGGTGTTCTCCCTCTCGCTCTCCTTCTGCTCTCCTCTGCTCTTCTCCTTTCTGCTGGTGACGGAGTTTGCAGTTCTGACTTGGAGTTTGCGTTTTGAGTTTGAATTGGGGGAAGGGCTAAAGTATTTTTACGGCTTGCTCGTAAAGCTGCTTGTCAAATATTTTTGCTGCATTTTAAACATATCGCTTCTGGTGCAGCCCAAGCAGCCATCTGAACGCCGCGCCCCCTCCATCCACTATCCAACAGCCAACAGCCATCTACCGCGTACCGAGTACCCTCTATAGGATTCGCTGGCAGAGGGAATATATATGAGAGACATAATGAAATTTTAATTAAGCTCAAGCAGCAAGCAGAATTAAAAGACGAAATGTGCGCCTTTTAATTCAATTTATAATTACACACAGACGCAGAGAGAGAGACACAGAGGGAGAGCACAGAGGCGGAGGCAGAGCACAGAGGCGGAGGCAGAGGCAGAGCTCAGAGGCAGAGCACACTCCGCAGCAGAACCAGACCCCAGATGAGAAGAGCTTTCAGCTGGCAGGCAGGCAGGTAGGCAGGTAGTCAGGCAAGTAGGTAGATCTCTTCGCCTCAGTCGCAGTCTCAGTCGCAGTCGCAGTCGCAGTCTCGCTCTCCCTCTCTCTGTTTCTGTTTCTGTGTGTTTCTGTTTCTGTTTGTGCCAGGGCTACGCGTGACTGTGTCGCTGCTGCTGCTGTTGGCTGCTCTCCTCGTGCTCGCTCGCTCGCATCGCTGCGAATCAATTAAAAAGACATTTGCGAAAATGTTGCCACGGCAAATTAACAGAAACTGAAACTGAAACTGAAACGACAACACGAATGCTTAAATGAGCGAATAAACGAAGATGAGTCGAGCTCTGGCAGCGGAGAAGAAGTGGAGAAGGAAGAGCAGTGAGACGCGGCGATACGATACGACACGTTGCGATGCGATGCGATGCGAGTGAATGAATGAATGAATGAATGCATAAACGAATGAATGCCACATTGCACGAATGACTGATGATTGTACCCATGATGATGATGACGACTACGACTGGAGTGCTGAATGTGCGGCGTGAAGCTCAAGACGTTGTCCATTGCCATTGCCACTTGCCTGTGGCACTCCGCCGTACACCAGCGCTGTGCTAATGTGATTCAATAACAACCCAGCAGCTGGACAGTTGGCTATGATTGCTGATTGTTTTTCATTCGCCTCAGTCAGAGCGAGTTGCAGTGAGGGATGTGTGGCAGTGGTGCGCAACTAATGATATTCGAGTGCACCGGACACAGTGGTGTAAGAAGGGGTGCATTCAATGTGGCAAACAACTGCTTTGACTGCCATGTGGCAACATGCTTTTGCAGCGAGTACATCCCTGTGTGTGTGCGTCGATCCTTGCCACGAACATAAATCACAAACTCAGCGAAACCTGCAAATGTTCAATAGGAGAATGCGAATGCGAGGAATGCCTCCTTTCTCCAGCTCGTCCTGCTTACCTCCTGCTTGCCTCCTCGCTTGCCTCCTCCTGCCTCTTCCCTGCCTCCTCTTGTCTCTCTTTGCCTCATTTCTCATGCCAATTCGCCAGTTACCAGCCCCATTCCCCTTTTCCCCCCAATTGAACTAATCTCATGCCATGCAGCCAGCATTCCCTTTTCGCTTTCGCTGAAAACTTTCTAATAATTTCTATTTGAAAGCCCCGGCCAAAAGTTGTGCGTGGTGTGCAAAACTGTCATAATTCATAAGTCGCCCCCGACCAGACCAGACCAGACCAGACCAAACCAAACCAGGCAAAAGGCAAAAGCCAGAACTGAAACTGAAAATGAAACGGAGACGGAGACGGTGGCTGGGGCAGGGGCTAAAGTTGAGGCTGATGCCGAACCCAAAAGCTGTCTGTGTATAATTACATGGTTCAACTGTCACGACGGAAAACAAATAAATGAGTTTACTTCGATGCCAAAAACTTTTGCCATCGAAACTGAGGAGGAGCTTTCCCCCACCCCCTCACTCTCCTTGCTGCAGTTTGTGGCCATCGATCCGACCGATGGCACATGCATCAGATTCCCATACCCACACCCCATTCCCATTTCTGTTACGCATTCATTGGCCCTTAAAGTTTTATGAAGCCAACATTTTGGCATCCAGGCGGGCATCCAGGCGGGCATCCAGGCGGGCACACACACACACACACACGGACTGACCCACTAAATGTTCTACCCCCACACCAGCGACCAATCAATCGATTTGGTGTTCGCTTCGGTAGCAAAATCCATGTAAATTCTATGGCAAATCAATAGGAATTCCCAATTTAGAATAGCAGCATCCATCCAGTGCTCCAATACTCCAGTGCTCCAGTGCAGTGGTCCCTGTGGGGCACCCTCGAAAATACCTGCAAACCTGGGACCTAAAGGCAAGTCCTTGGGATTCAAAATTAATTCAGATTGCAATTCCCCTGAATTATACGCATCACCAAACTATGATTTCTCATGAAATATTAATGCCGGCATGCGACATTTGATATTTGGCGATGGCTCTCCACCCTCCTGCCCCCCTGCGCACAGTCCACTCGCTTTTTGTTTTTCCTTTGGCTCTGCCACTCCTCCCTCTCCATTCAACTATTCGGAGACGAAAGCGTGGGGCCGATCAAGAGACAGAGACAGAGCCACAGCCAGAGCCATGACCAACTTCGTTATCATTGTCAACATGCCATTGAGTCTCGTGTCTGGAGAGGAGAGTCTGGTCCGGTGCACCTCCACCGCCCCCCCTGCCACCCTGCCCATCTCTCTCTGCCATCCTCTCCGCATAACCAGAGCAATTTCAAAGTTGTGTCTGTCAGAAAGGCACAAAATGTGACCCACAGCCGCCCAACCACCACCCTCCGTGCCAACACTGGTGTCTCTGACATTTTTTTGGCCTTCTCTCTGTCCATCTGTCCGACTGTCTGTCTGTCTGTCTGTCTGTCGTTTTTTGTTGGCACTTCCTTTTTGACACCGGCGTTCCGCTACGTTTCACGGCTGCCATTTCACCTGGCCTTGCCTTGCCTTCCACGTCCCCAGTCCCACTTCCCACATTCCACGTCCCACATTCACGTCCAGTGTCTATCAATGCCGGCGATTGTCCTGCCGCCTGCTGGCGCCTGGCTCTTGCCTGTCAGCCGGAAAATGTGAATTTATCACACGAGCACGTACGCATATTCTGCGTCTCTCCGTCTCTCCGTCTCTTTGCCTCTCCTGTGCGGCATTGGCCTTTTTTTTAGCAGCTCTGAGCACTCTTTGGGTGGGTCGCAGAGTGGCAGAGTGGCACGATTGGTTCTTTGGTTCATTGGAAATGCCTGCCAGGGATTAGTTAATATTGGCATTTGAATGCGACTGAGACTGGGGTCACGGGTTCAAGGCTCCTCGCCACTCTCTCTCTCTCTCTCTCTCTCTCTCCCTCTCTCTCTGTGGCGCTTCTTGCGCTTCCCAGCGCGTGAATTAGAATGTCTTAATTGCATCCTGTTTGCGGCAAATTCACTTCTGCAACAATTAAGAGCCAATTTCTCAGGCACGCCTTGGGGTCTCCAATCAACGCGACAGGCGGCCGTGGCATGCCGCAGAGTCAGCGTCCCTTTTGGTGCTTCGTCTTTGTTTCCGCTGCGCATCAGATGGCGGATGCAACGAAAAACGGCAACAGCCATTAGCCTTTCGGCCATCCGAGAGGTTCTGCTGCTGCTCCGCTGCTCCTCTCCTCCTGCTGTGTGCCCTGTGCTGTGTGCCCTGTGCTGTGTGCCCTGTGCTGTGTGGTGGCACCTTCAGCTGAGAGCATTATGCTCTCAGATTGATTGGCCTATCAAGAGACTGAGACTGAGAGGCTGAGACTCAGGCTAGTAGACTGTCTGTAAGGCGTCTTAAGTGGAACTAAAAGCTTGCTCCAGGATTGAGTGGCACAACAAGGGAGGATCCCCGCCAGCAGCATGCAGTATTTGGCACTCTGCGGCACACTCTGCGGCTGCTTAATGAAATTATCACCACGTAAGGAAGAGAGACAGTTATCGGAGTGCCCAGGGCCCAGCATCCGGTTTATTACTCAATCGAATTGCGGCTGGTTGGTGATCAGCAATGGGTCCCGATCCCTGGCAAAGTCGTCCGTGTTGGCCGAACTCTGGCGATGGCAGTGCGTCGGATGTGTGCAGGGATGCGCCAGGGACACTGTGGAGGTGATGCGGCCCGTTACCCAGCCGTTTGGTCAGCTCAGTGGCTGTTGCCGTGTCCCGCTGCAGGCGGACGGGCACCCACACGTGGCGACGCGCCAGCAGCACGTCCTGCCACTGCATGCGATTGGCCCTGCAGATCTTGCCGATGCTCGTGTCGTACTTGAGCGCCAGACTGGCCATGGTGTCCTCCCTGGCCACCGGATGCAGCAGCCAGCACTCAACGCTGCTCAGCTCCTGGCCGCAAGTATTGGGTCTTCCCCACAGCTCAGTTGCCTGAGATGGATTTAGCTGCCAGGTTCGGCGAGCATCGTCGCGGCCACTCATCACTGACACGGGGAGGGGGCAGGGGTGCCCAGGTGGTCCGATAAGAATTTCGGAGACTACAAATCAAACTGTGCTACACTCGTGTGTGTTTTGGATTTCTCTAAGGCAATTGACAACAAACAACAAACACACAAAGAGAGAGAAAGGTTATCCCTTCTACATTAGAGTCTTCATTATATTCACATGCTCCAGTGCACCATCGTTATCGTTATCGTTGCCTCGTGCCGCCTCGTGGCTCGTTGTCAGCATCGTCGTCACCTTCTTTGATCCTTTCCGTCTATCTGAATGTCTCTCTGTCTCTCTCTCTGTCTGTCTGTCTGCCTGTCTGTCTGTGGCCCTCTGATTCGCGGTTTATGCAAATTACTTGGCACACATTCAGCTGGGCCTGTCCTGGCCTGGCCTGGCCTGGCGCTGCGCTGCTCGTGTCGTAATCAACTAATGCGAGTGCCTCGGCCATCGCTGCGTATACGTAATCAACTCAACTCAACTCAACTCAACGCACAGTCACACTCGCACAAGCTGCACAGCTGCGGAGTTGTGTAAGCGCACAATACGGATGGCTGGCTGGCTGGCTGGCAGGTCAACCGCAAAGGTGTCTTCACAAGCTCGTCCTCGTCCTTGGGCTGCTCGGGGCAATCGGCCAGGATAACGATGCTGGCAGCGGCAGCGGCAGCCCGGCTGCTTAAGCCGACTGCTGCTTATAATCTCTTCCCTCAGCAACTGGCAGGTTGTGTTCTGTCTGTCGAGGGGGGGGGTAGGGGCGGGGCAGCTTTACGCAATTTCGGTGGTGAAAAATTCAAAGTTATTTACGGACTAGTCCGGGCAGTGTTCTTGTATGAGTATTGTATAATCCCTTCTGTAAACAAGCAGAGAAGGGAAAGCAGTGCCGAGTCGTGCCGAGCCATGCAGTGACTGATTCCGAATAAGTGGTCTGTATTTAAAGGGATAAACATTTCAGAGGATAACAAGGATAACAACTGTAGGCGGAATGCGCATCATTATTATCACATTCACGGTACAGTGCAGCACAAACATATACATACAGCACGAGCACGAGTACGAGTATAATATATATATAATATATTCATTGCATATCCATATCGATGTGAAATGCTTTTTTTTTGCTCCGAATTATTGCTATCGTTTTATTTATCTGCCTCGAAGCCTCGGTACTCGTTTCATCCATCCATCCATCCTATTTTCTATATGTTTTGCCACGTAATGCCATTCATATTATATTATTATTATGTATTGCTATTATTATTTAATTGTTTGCTTTTGTCAACTATTTTTGAATGGTTGTGTTGTTTTTGTTATCCATTAATCGATTTTATTTTACTATCTGCCTTTATCTGGCCAACCGAATTATATCAGAGCCCAGGCCGCGAATGAAGTGAGTGGCTGCTGCGGGGGCCATGCGAATACAAGGTACGAATATATATGTGTGTATGCACACATAAATCACAATAATTACTGACTCCAGCGAACGCCTTGAAGGGGGAGAGGGAGAGGGAGAGTGTGGCAAGGCAAGCCGCCTTGCGGAATAAATTGAATGCCCTGCCTGAACACTTGCTTCCCCTTCGCACAAATCAAAATTTTTCGTTTGTTTTGTTTTCATAATATTCACGGCTGGCTCAAACAATTCAATTCCGCTGTTCACCCCGCCTGCCTGCCATTTGTTGCCATTTGTTTTCCATAAAATATGCGAAATTGATATGACAAAATGTCGAGCAGCAAAAGGGTTTGGCTGATGCTGCTGCTGCTGCTGCTCCTTCTGCTTACTGCCTCCAGCTGTATCCGTGGAGTAATCTCGTGTGAAGCCATTTGACTACTGCCGGGGGCGGGGCGGGGTGGAGTCGATTAAGTCGACACCGACTGTGGCATTGCCAGAGGGGGGCTGTTGAATCCCCCAACTGAGCAACAATTTACCTTTGCCGAGACACTCTCTGTGTGTCTTTCTGGCTCTGCCTGTCTCTCGGACTGGCCCAAATGAATCAATGAATTAAAGCAACAAGAGAGAGAGAGAGAGAGAGCGGCAGAGATATGCCAACCGAGCAGCCAGCAACTGTCGAACAGACTGCGGAGCTGCGGACCTACTACGAGAAGGACGGCGACATACCGACGTACCGCAAGCAGCGCAACTTCGTCATCTTCATGCTGTTCCTGGGCATGGCCAATGCGTATGTGATGCGCACCAACATGTCCGTGGCGATCGTGGCGATGGTCAACCACTCGGCCATCGGCAGCGAGCAGCAGCACAGCCAGGGCGGCCAGTTCGTGTGGAGCTACAAGACGCAGGGCTACATCCTGTCCAGCTTCTTCTACGGCTACGTCCTCACCCAGATACCCTTCGGCTTCCTCATCAAGTACTACGGGGCCAAGCACTTTCTCGGCTGGGGCATGATGCTCAATTCGGTGGCCGCCTTCATGGTGCCGGTGTCGGCCCGCGAGGGCGGCCCCGTGCCCCTCGGCATCGTGCGCTTCATCCAGGGCCTGGGCGAGGGCCCCATTGTGCCCTGCACGCACTCGCTGCTGGCCGGCTGGATACCGCCCGACGAGCGCTCACGGGCGGGCGCCGCCGTCTATGCGGGCGCCCAGTTCGGGACGATCATCTCGATGCCGCTGAGCGGACTGCTGGCCGAGTACGGCTTCGACGGCGGCTGGCCCTCGATCTTCTACGTGTTCGGCGTGCTCAGCACCGTCTGGTGCGTGCTCTTCCTCTGGCTGGTGCACGAGAGCCCCAAGGCGAGCGAGCGGATCAGCCAAACGGAGCGCAAGTACATCGAGGACAACATCTGGGAGGCGCAGCCGGCGGACACGGGCCGTACCCCGTTCCTGGGCTTCGCCAGGTCGCGCTGCTTCTGGGCCATCATGGTGGCCCATGCGGGGCAGAACTACGGCTACGAGACGCTGATGACGATGCTCCCCACCTACATGCACGGCATTCTGGGCGTCGATCTCAAGGCGAACGGCGTGCTCTCCTCGCTGCCCTACCTGGCCATGTGGCTGATGGCCATCGTGTTTGCGATTGTCGCCGATCGGCTCATCCGCCGCCAGATCTCCATCACGGCCACGCGCAAGATCATGAACAGCTTCGGGCAGTACGGCCCGGCAGTGGCCCTCATTGTGGTCGGCTACGCCCACCAGAGCCTCACCCTCACCATCGCTGTGTTCGTGCTGGGCCTGGGCCTCAACGGGGCCATCTACTCCGGCTTCAAGATCAACCACCTGGACCTGTCGCCCCGCTACGCCGGACTGCTCATCTCCATCACGAACTGTGCGGCCAATCTGATTGGCCTAACGGCGCCCATGGTCGCCGGCCACATCATCCACCAGGGGCCCAATATCGGCAATTGGCGCATTGTCTTCTACATTGCCGGCGGCGTTTACATTTTCTGTGCCACCTTCTACAATATCTTTGCCAGTGGCAAGCCGCAGTGGTGATGCACGCGAATATGTGCAGCCAAAAAAACAAACTTAAACACAAACAAAAACACAGAATAAAATAGCAAAATAAATAAAGTAGAGAGCCGCATAGGCACACAGCCAGGGCGAAGCTTGTTGCGGCCATCAGCCTGCGGATGGCAGGACATTCAAAACCACTGAAACACTGACACAGTACAGCAGAACATAGAGAGATAGAGAGAGAGAAAGAGAACATGGAGGAGAAAGTAACATCAATCAAATGGCCGCTTGTCTCTTTTGCCGTCTAGGCCGCCTGGCCGCCTGGCCTTTGGGCCATTTAATTTCGCATTTGTGCCATTTATTTTATGTAACATTTTTCGTCCTAATTAGCAGACCAGGATCGGAATGCGCTGGTCTGGTTTGGTTTGGTTTGGGTCCTTGTCGCGGTCAGCCAAACAGCAGCCTATTCCATCCACTGCGCCACTTGTTAGACCATCAAAATGGCATTTGTAGCATTAACAGGCCAATTCTGCAGCTGCCTCTGCAGCTGCCCTTCTGCTGGTTGTGTATAAAATAAATGCCATGGAAATAGAAGTTCACTTTCATTGCAATCCAAACGATGCTCGAATGTTGTGCTGCTGCTTCAAAAATTGAATAGAAAATCGAGCAATACTCGTTAATAAATAATAAAAATCATTTGGAAAGTGAGCAAAACATAAATACTTCTCCATGCAAACACACACAGAAATCCACTTTCCATTCCTTATTCAGTGTGTCAATTCAAGTTTGTTTAAATCCTACAAACGAGTATTTTTGGCTGGAGTTTCTTGACTATTTTTGCACAGCTCGAAATTCTCTCCAGGAACTCACTCACTTGGGCTTTCCACTCTCCATTTGTGTGGCCAACCTTTTGGCTTCACCTTTGATTGTTCGCCCGCAACTTAATGTTAATCTTTGCTTCGTTATTCTGTAAAGTTTTCAATTTTCCTTCTATAATTCCAAGCCCCACCCACCGCCTTCCTGCTGCTGCTCGTCACGGACTCGTCAGATCCGCGACTTGCGATGATATCTGAATCATTGCAGTGGCCAGGCGGGGGGGAATGGGGAAAGCATTCAGTGGAAGAATTTCAACAAGTTTAAGGCTTAAGTTTCATTGCAACAATAATTTGCGTGCGCAGCAAGCACAGAAAGGAGAGAGAGAGTGGCAGATGGCGGCACATCCTTGGCTATCAGTCGCAAGTCTCAGTCCCTCCCTCTCACACTCGCCTGGCCACAAATGCAGGTGTTTCACACACACACACACACACACGTACACACTCACCTGGCCACAAAATGTTCGCCACTCTTGTAATAAGCAGAGTAGAAGGCAAAGAGGATGAGCTGAAGCCGTAGCCGAAGCTGCAACTGCAGCTGGATGTGAATGTGGATGTGGATAGCTGGAGGGCCAGTGTCAGAGTCGGAGTCAGTCAGAGGGATCTGTTAGGGGGTTAGTGGGTTGTGGGGCAGTGGTGGCAGGTGGGGCAGGGCGACGTGGTAAAGTTGTGTTGGCGGAACAGTTGGCCAAAATGTTAACTTGTCTGCACGTTTCGTTTTGTCGCCAGTGAAGCGACTAGATAGGGAGGGACATGTAATTGGGTTTTCACTTGATTCAACATGCGCCAAAATGTCAAAGTGCACCGCAAGTTTTGCCGTCTATTTTTGGTTTCTATTTTTGGTTTCTATTTTTGGTTCTATTTCTGGTGCTGCTGCTGCTGCTGGTGCTGCTGGTGCTGGTTCTGCCTCCGATTTGCTACGATTGCTCCGACCCTTCTGCATACATATATGTATGTAAACGTATCTGGCGGTGACTGTGATTCCGATTGCAACTCCCAGCTATGCCACTCCCAGCTATTCCACTGATGTGACAGTGAAAACTGGCAACACAGCAACGGCCGGCCACACATTCCACGAATCGATTGCGTTGCCCTTGCAAAGGTGTGGCCCCCTCCGTAGGTCGCTGGCTGACTGTTCGAATGGTATAAGTAATTCATTCGGACCCTCTCTATGTATTGCACATACATATATCTGATGTGCGCTGCAAATCCTGAAAGCGTTTTATTCAGCAGCAAATGCTTGATGGAAAGAGATCAAATTTGCGGATGAACTGCAATGAGCTGCACTTGCTGCATGTGTATGCCTCGCTTAGCTGCCACAGACCACTGTAGCACATTCTCTGTGCTGCACTGTACTGTACTGTACTGTACTGTACTGTACTGTACTGTACTGTACTGTACTGTACTGTACTGTACTGTACTGTGGCAACTGATTCCGGCTCTTGTCGGCTGCTTCTGTGCTGCTGTGTGCAGGTGCAAATCCCTGACCTGCCGATTGAATGTTTCCATTATAACCAATTCACACAAATGTATCGTTGTGCTCGTCGTGCCTTTTGTTTGTCTGCATTTGCATTTGCATTTCCCGCACCCCACCCCACACCACACCACTCCCCTCCCCACAACAAACACAATCGATTGAGGACAGTAATCGGTTTTTGGCATTTGCTTTGTGTCCACCGGAATTATAGATGTGAAATGCGCTAATTAGGCGTCGATTTCTAAATACCCAACTAAACCCCAGCCCCAGCCCCAGCCCCAGCCCCAGCCCCAGCCCCACCCCCAGCCCCAGCCCAGCCCCACCCACTGACTGAGTCGCATCGATTTCTGTTTGTGTGTGTGTGTGTGTGTGTGCGTGTTTAGCTACTAAATAAATGTCATAATTCCCGCATTTACTTGGGGGGAATTTAGCTTTATTTATCGTTGAATTAGCAGATTTTATTTCTCCTTTTGCATATTTATTTTCGTAGCATTCGCAGTACCTGCTGGGGCTGCTACGGGCTTATCAATCGACTGCCGCATATCAAAAACAGACTCTCATCGGCTCACAGCTCTCAGCCAGACCTGCATCTACAACTGTGGGTCTGCAGCTGCCCTACCTCTACGTCCGTTCATCCTTTCATTGGCTCTCAGTGTTGACGCTTCGATATTGAAAAGTTACGATAATGTGACTTGGTTCGTGACTGCCCCCCTGCTCAACCCCTATTCTACCCATTGGCCAATCCACATCAGCATTCGCTCTCTTTCTTTCGCTTTTTTTTCTTTGCTAGTTTGTGGCTCTCAAGTGGAGGCGACTCAAGTGTGTGCGTTGCCAATGGGTGTGGAGTGGGCAGTGGGCAGTGGGCAGTGGGGCAGTGGGGCAGTGGGCAGTAGGGCAGTGTGTGTGAGTGCTTAAGTGAGGCTGTTCCCACACACCCATCTACTACGTAGCTTTCAGATTGAGATTCAGGTTCTGATTCAGATGCCACTCGTTATTTTTGCAGATTTTCTAGCTGCTCTCCGTGTGCCAGCCGTGTGGTTTTGTGGCCATGCCTCTGCTCTTGACAAATAAGCAATTTATAAATCATTTTTATTTCCTAGTTGCCATGCCTGGGAGCAGCAAGCGGCTGCACTACCATGGCTGCCTCCTATGGATGGGGCTCCCAACAAGTGGAGGAGAGTGGCAAGTGGATCTGGCACTTGTTCCCTCTGCTTCTGCTGCATATTTAACTGCTGCTGCTGCGCTGCTGCTGCTGCGCTGTGCTGCTGCGCTGTTGCTGCTCTCGTTTTAGCCGCTTACTGATTTTATTATGATTTCTTTTTGCTGTGTTCGGGCATATTTTTAGAACAAATAAAAATAGCAACAACAACAAAACAATAACAGAACAAAGCACTCAATTTGCGACCCAAATTCCAATTGCAGCGGTGGGCGGCTGGGATGAGAGAATTGAAAAATGTTTGACATTTTCGCACACGGAAATATTTTTGGTGTTTTATTTCGATGCTCAGCCAGGGGGGGGGGGGGGGTGAATCAGTCCAGTGCCAGGCCAGCCTCTCACTCTCCATGAAGTGTGCCCTAAGTGAGCTCTTGTGGTCCGTGTTTGCCGGCTGATCCGCCGATCGTTTAGCTTGGCAACCACAACACCCACAACTGCACCCCGCCCGCTGTCGCCTGCGTGTCCCCAAAAAGCAGAAAAAGCAGACAAAATAACTTAGCCGCCCATCCATTCGGTTAATGGTTAAAGCCTGTCCAGGGGGCTCAGAGCTGAGGCTGGGAGGCAGGCAGTCAGTCGGGAGGGGAGGTGACAGCCGCACTGCGCCCCCCTGTGATGATGTTTTGTAGGTGCATCTGACATCTGCCAATGCAGAGACACAAATACACAAGACATATCCTTCAGATAAATGCATATCCTTCTGCGTGGCAGAGATTTTTAATATGATTTTTAATTTATTATAAAAAACGCAGCAGGGAGCAGAGTTCTGCTCTACCAGTGATCAGCTATCGAATGCAGAATATCGATCGATCGATATATATTTCGACTTTGCTGCCGGAGCCAGCCTCCTGGAACCGCCTGAAACCTCAGCTCCTTTCCTGCCCTCAGCATCAATAAAATTTGACTCTCTCTCTCGCTCTCTCTCGCTCTTTGCATTTGCCCGTCTGGTTCCTGGGGGATTTCACTGACTTATAGTTTCGCTGCGCACTGTACGTGCAGGCAGGGTCAGGGCAGTGGCAGAGCAGAGACAGGGCCAGGGGCAGAGGCAGTGGCAGGGCAGAAAGACTGTTGCAACTGTTGCATGGCCATAGGAGTGGATGCGGGCAATGCCCCAATATTATAACAAATGGCAATAGATACAGATACGAATGGCACAGTGAAAAGTGGCCCCAAATGCCCCTGGGCGGGGGGGTTGGTTGGGGAGGGGGTGGAATTTCGAATTTGGCAGCCAGCTGAATGCATGGCTGCCACTGCAACTGCCACTGCAACTGCAACAATGTGCAAATCTCGTTAGTGAAATGATAGCCGAGGGTGCACGGTGCGCGGTGCACGGTGCACACATGCCACATGCCACATGCCACATGGATGTGGCGGCGGCTGGCAATGCGGTGCATCAACTGCAACACCGGAAGTGCACTTATGCCGCGCACTTCTATTTCCGCTGCCGCTGCTGCTGCTGCTGCTATTTCAGTTTGCAGTTTCCCATTTTTCCATTTTGGGCGATAAAGATTGATGGCAGCCCC